TGCTGAGACTTGTTTGAGATCGTGAAGCAAAATCAGTCTGTTGTTTTGTTATAGAATTGAACTTCGCAACGAGGTAGTTGAAAAGTACCTGAGCACACGATGACAGCTTCTTAGTTTCCTCTTTTCTACCGAAGCGTGCCTCAATACAATCTGATGAAAAGGGTAACCCAACCAGAAACAAATCACTTAAGATATCTTAATAGGAGATTATATCACTCAAAGAACACAGTTCAAGGACCACACGATAAAAGATCCTTCCTCATCGCAGTGTATCTCAATGCAGCGGGAATTGTTATCTAAACACAGAAAATCATGACAAATCACTTCCTATCCCTTTCTAAGGCGTTCCGCAAGGGATTCTTCTGTTTCCTTCCAGTGGTCTTACTTCTAACATGTCTACGCTTGTCTCTCCCTGGGTTTCTTTTTCGGAAGGTCTGCGTGGGGGCTATCTACGCTAGATTGGCTACCAAACAGCCCAGGTTATGCAAAGTCGCATGACAGATGTTAGAAAATTGAATTTTAACAGAAAGAGTAATCTCAGCAAGAGTAATCTTAACGTTAAAGGAATGAAATACTTGGGCTAGCCTCTGCATGATGTTGTTTCTTTGCGAACAACAGACATCCAGCAGTGTCGCTGTTTGAAAACAGTCGATCTCAGTTTAATCTACATGTTAGGCGTTGAAAACTAACGCCAAGCTTCAAGTTAGTTTCAGCCGACACTACGCTTGCGAGAAGAAACCTCAGGCCTGATCAACTCTTCAGACTAGGATGGAGTGGAATGGTTCAAACGTAGTGCAGCACGTTGCACACTAAATCGCTATGAAAGACCTGCTAGTGTCAAAGAACTTTTGTAACAACTTGATTAGAAAACTTCAGAAATACTTGGGAGGAAAGCAACGCTGACAGTGCTATATAAGACGTGATGTGCTGCAATCTAGTTGAGATACTGATCAACAGAAATATCTAGAGCCTTTTGGCAGCTCTAGTAGGCACATGCACAAATTCTCGTGTAAAGTCCAGGCGTCTGAAGCAAATTATCACCTGCTCTCATTTTTTTCTCATACACTCAGGAACTGTAATTGCCTACCCCTGAATGTTGTTAGGGCACAATCTTTAAATTCTTTCCGAACCAAGCTAGATATGTTTTGATTATTCGTATTTTACTGTTATTATTATTTATTATTATTAGTAAGGCCACCAGGCTTGACATTTTGGGTGGTCGCTTACGGGAGTTTCGACTGTATATAACGGCCCGAGGCATCAGTTAATTGAACTATCTAATTAGCTTAGAGCCGCTTTCCAAAATATGCTGTGTACTGATTGCTGTTGAATTTAAGAAAACTTTGGCATAACCTTGATGGTCGTTTACGAGCTGTTAGACCATAATGGGTTAAAACGCCTTATGGTTTTCAAGTCTTTAAACGGTCTTGTTACGGAATATCTCACGTCTAAATTTATAAAGCGAAATGAATCAAGCCATTCTCTGAGAGACTCGGTAAACAAACTTGTTGTCCCCTTTCCAAGAACTAACTACATGAATACTTTTAGTTACAGCGGCGCTACCCTTTACTACAGTTTAACCTGCAACATTAGAGAATCTGGTTCATTAAAGGCAAAGACCTGCAAAAGGACTGGTCTTAATTGGGAGATCACTTTTTTATTTGGCAAAGATTTAATAATGGACCAATAAAAACCAATAACTAATGCAAGAGCTTTCATTTTTTTCATAGCACATTTTTCAAAGCAAGTGGAAGCGGTCAATAAAACCTACATTTCATGTGCATGTAGATACCGTTAAATTTGCTACCCAATTCAAGGAGTCCCCCTGTAGCCCAGTGGTTACATTTCCGAGCTTCGGATCGGAAGGGCATGGCGTTCAGCCCCCGCAGGGGGACTCCGTTTTTGTTTTTTCAATTTTTAAGGTAAACTCCATTGTTTTTTTCTTTTTTTTTTTTCATTTGAACCAAGTTAGAAGTGAAAGACTTTTTAAGAAAGGACATCAAACTTGGATGACCGTAAAATATATATCCATCTTGCGATGTCTTTTTTCATTTAAGCCGCTCTTTATTAGCTCGCTTCCGATAGGCAAAGACTTGCCAAAGTCCTGGTTTTAATTGGGAGGTCATTTTTTTTATTTATTTGGGAAAGATTTAATAATGGACTTCAATAAATTGTCTTAGCACATTTTCTAAAGCAAGATGAGGCTGTGAATAAAAACTACATTCCATTAGCACATACGTACCGTTAAATATGCTACCCAATTCAAGGAGTACCCCTGTAGCCCAGTGGTTACATTTCCGAGATTCGGTTCGGAAGGGCGTGGCGTTCAGCAACCGCAGGGGGAGTCCGTTCTTTTGTCATGTTTGTGTTGGACTCCATTGATCTATTTCATGCAATCTTTTTTTTCCGTTTCAACCAAGTTATGTGTAAAAACGATCTTTTAAGAAAGGACATTAAACCTGGCTGACTGTAAAATATACTCATCTTGCCATGTCCTTTTTCATTTAAGCCGCGCTTTATTATCTTGTATCCAATAGACAAAGATCTGCAAAAGTATGGATCTTAATTGGGAGGTCATTTTTGTTTATTTGGGAAAGATTTAATAATGGACCAATAAAAACTTATCACTAATGCAAGGTATTTCATTTTTTCATAGCACATTTTCCATAGCAAGATGAGGCTGTCAATAAAATCTACATTTCATGTGCATATAGGTACCGTTAAATTTGCTACCCAATTCAAGGAGTCGCCCTGTAGCCCAGCGGTTACATTTCCGAGCTTCGGTTCGGAAGGGCATGGCTTTCTGTTCCCAGAGGGGGATCCGTTATTTTTTGTTTGTTTTGCTTTTTTTTTGTTGTTGTCATGTTTGTGTTGGAGTCCATTGATTTCTTTTGTACAATCTTCTTTTTTTCCGTTTTACCCGAGTTTGGTGAGAAAATTAAAGACCTTTTAAGAAAGGACATCAAAGCCTTTCTGACCTTAAAATATATCCATTTTGCCATGTCTTTTTTCATATCCAATAGGCATAGAGCTGCAAAAGTATGGATCTTAATTGGGAGGTCATTTTTTTTTGTTGGGGAAAGATTTAGTCATGGACTTCAATAAAAACTTATCACTAATGCAAGGTCTTTAATTTTTTTCGAAGCACATTTTCCAAAGCAAGATAAGGCTATCAATAAAAACTTCATTTCATGTACATATAG